ATATCAGGCAATGATGACCAATCTATTATCATAAACAAATTATTTAAAATTTTGTTTATTAAGACAAATCGACAACTCCATTCCGTAGTCCAATAAAATAATTTGTATGTTTTTTTTAATCAAGCAATATTTTTACTCTTGTATTTCACTTTAAAACACCAATTATAGTTTTGTTAACATTTAAAAGCAACATCAAATATAATACCGTAACCATTATTTATTGTTAATAATGCACAAAAATCCAGCAAAATGGTAAAACAGCTTAAAATGCTTTTAAGCTGCGACCGATAATTCTAAGCGCGGGCAGTTGGGAATGCCACACTCAAGATCTGGACAGTTCTCGTGATGGAAACAGCTATCGCTGCTGCAAAACATGCATCCGTTGGGCGTTAGCGGCACATTTGTAGAGAGCTTGAGCGTATCCCACACCTTCTTTAAGTCCAAAACTAGAGCGTTCATCATTTCGAAAGTATGGAAAGGTGTTGGCGCCAAACGAAGTTTTTCCTCACCGCGAGCAACTGTTGGATAATTTATTGATTGCATATAGTGTCCGTACTGGTCCATAAGCATATTTGAGATTTGACTGCATATAAGGGGATCTCCAATTTTTATTGGAATAATGTGACTTGGCGTATCTTCAACAGGAAAACCTGAAATAAAATAACATATAAATAAAGTCAGTGGAGTTATTTAAAATATTAATTTATATATATGATAAAAACCTGATTCATTAACTTAACGAGCAAAAGAATTTATTAACAGTTAAGTTCAACTAGTTCAACCAATTGTTTAATAAAAGAATACTTTGAAAATGCATTAAAATAATTTGAAAAGCTAACGTAACAGTTGCATATAACTGCAGTAAATATATCTGATTTTGCTTGATAAATAGATAAGAACATTCTAGTCGCTGAAACTATAAATATATTTAAAGAAATTCTACGATCAGGTGCTGTAATTGATTACATAATACATTTTTACAGGCCACTAGCCAAATTAGTAAATATAGTCTATGTTATTTGCCACGATCTTAGTTGGCAAAGGAACTTATATCAAATGTCAGCAATGCTCATCAATAATATTCATTATATGTGCAGTTATTATTATTATTAGTTAGTTTGCTTTTTGTTTAGGAACAATTGAAAAAGAAAATAAAAATATATATATTCATATTTAAAATTATGAAAGAATTTAAGTTTCAGAATGTACACTATGAAAGGAAATGGGCAATAAATTTCTAAAAATGATCGTATTGCGAATTTAAATTCTTAGCGATGTGCATGACATGAATATATACGAGTATTTATTTTGTAGTATTATCTATCTAAATTTTGTTTATATAAATAACAGACAATTTACCAAAATATGTATATACATTTG